TTGGTAAAAAATAAATTCCTATTATCATATTACTAATAAAATCTTGTGTAGTCTTAAATTTATTAATTTTGTATTTTCACTCTATTTAGTCTTTCACTATAGTTATCATAATTATTTTTTTAGTCACACAAAACAAATAAATATGGCTTATTGTATATTAAATGAATATTTTAAAACTTAAATTTTTTTTAAAAAAATTTTGCCTATGTGGACACTCTAGATGGAGAGAAAACTCCATAATTATATAATAGATTTATATACTTATATTTTTCTTATCCAATATTTTGAGATAGTAATTTCTTCTCCTCTGCTTAACAGTTTAGAATAGTTATGCAATATCGACTGGACAATGCGTATGCTTTATCTCCTTTCCGTTGAAAGACCCGATTGTTTTTTTCATCTCGAATTTTAGTTTGGTTGTTTTGTGCATCCGTTTTAATTGTCAAATTTGTTCCAGTTTTGTAATCTTCTTCAGGAGATAATGGGTTAGTTACATTGTAAACTCTTTTTTGGTATAAATGTAACATTAAAACAAAACAAAAAACCATGCAACATCTATAGATTCACCATATACTAAAAACTAAAATGTACTTTACTAGAAATAAATGTGTGTATCAATGTTTCTTATACCTAATTAAATATGAATAAGTGTTGATCCTACCCAAACAAATCGCTACTTAAACCATCCTCCAATCCCTAAAAATGGAGCACAAGAAAAACCATGGACATTGGTGATGTTAAGTGTTATTTCGCATATCATCAAATACTCTCTAAGAGTTGATTTTGTTTTTATATATAAATAAATCTGCTAGTAATATTTTAGTTTCCATTGACTTTATCTTTGTTTTCAGTATCCTTCTAAGTGTAATCATGTTAAAGAAAAAGAACTTAAGCGAAAAAATAGAGTTGTCTAATGTTGATATGTATGTTATGTCTACACATTACATGTCTAAATCATGTTTGATGTCAATGATCAAAACTTTTATTAACAAAAGACTTGTACATATACAAAGACTTGGGTTTTGAACATTGCAGACCATCTATTATAATCAGATGCTTCAATCGATCATGCATATATGCAAAGACTTGGGGTTTATAACTTTGTAGTTGTTCCAGTATCCCCAAATAGTTCCCTTATTTGTAGCCACCGGTCGATGGCCATGCTATGATAAAGTCTAAGATCGACGATGCAAAATTCAA